CACAATGCGCACATTTTCAAGTTCTGCACCATGTCTTTTTTTCACGCGCAAGTGTGTTGTCGACAACGCAATTACACTTTTTGACCGTTAAATTTCCTAGTGTGTATTAAGGAGGCTTGGAAAAAGCACTGTCAATTTTGAGCTTTATTAGGCTCGACATGTTTTCTTTCTAGAGTCGAGCAGACAATATTTGAATAAGGTAAAAATTAAGTTTTGTCTTGTAAAGTCAACGTGCGTCCAACTTGTGCAAGTTATTTATAAGGTAGAAACCTTATAGTTTTCCTAGTTCCGAGAGCATAACCATGTATAAGAAAAGCGTGCTATCGTAGCTTTCCATCTTCGGCTGTCCGTAGACGCCTGATAAGCGCATTTTCTCAGAAGCGGGTGTGCATCAAAAAGCTTCATGACGTGACCAATCATACGGCCATGATCTTGTCCCAGACGTCATGCCCGAGAGAGATAGTCTTTTGAAGGGACGTCAGCTTTCTGCAGAGAGTCAATATCTATGAATGTCAAGGTTTTTTCACTTCTTTCGAGAGGATTTCTATAACCTTATATCAGGTAGGATACAAAAACAGTGTCTTCAAGTAAGTATTCGTATGCCGAGACTGTTACAAATAAGTTGCCTTTTTTGTAAACGATTCTATTGTCGAGGTATTTGTAACTTAATATGTTTGTTGCACACAGTGCGCGCCACTTGACGACATGTAAGATTAAAACTTGTTTTTCTGTGATCTCTCCTTGATTTCTGGTCTCTTTCAATTCATTTGGCTATGAGCTAGTTAGCAGTACACATTTTTGCTGAGGTGTTATTAGTAAGGATGTCGTCGTTTGCCGTGCATAGCGTGCAGAGTCACATATTAAGTCACAAAACTTGAGAATACACGTCTTCATTGCAAGAACAGTAGCACGAATCTAGTGGTTACCTATTCACCAGAATATCCGGAAAAATTGCAAATGTATCCGTATTGATTCGAGTATGCTATGATTACTACAAAATGTTCGTAGCAGCTTTTTGTAGTGCGGAGGTGGACTTGGTGAGCTGAAAGCTGGAATGATATCGTATGCACAAGATTGTACGAACTCGTATCCTTCGAACTTTAGCTTTTCGCGAATGAATAGGTTGCAGAGATTATAAAGTTTTTATTTTCACACCTGAATATAGAGGAAAGGGAAAAGTTCACTCGTAGATTTTGAGTTACAGAATATGTAGTATTCTCTGTAATGCGTCTTCATTATTATTAGGTTGTCCCATAAGTCCTTTCATAACTGACTTTTCATTAACATAAGTCAGTTTTTCTCATATTCTTAACACATTCACGACAGGGCCGATTTTTCGATGACTGCCATTTCGGACCAGAGCATATTTCGCAAAATTGAGTTTGCGTAATATTTTCAGGTCACTGATGGACCCTGTGGTCTAAGTGCTAATCTTTAAGGAAGTACTCGAAGAGGTGTATGCAGAAGTTTACTCGGTTCGCCTAAAAAGTTTCACCGTGAACTAACAAAACCAAAAACTTCGGGAAGCATACGACCCACCGGTGGGTCGTATTGTCCGAAATGGCAGAACACGTACGACCCACCGGTGGGTCGTATTGTCGTGTATGTGTTAATAGAATGCGGGGTACCATTCGACAGATCAAAGCAAACTCTACAAGATGGCTTTCAAAAATTCGCGCCAAGCTTGATCCGCATCGAAATTTAGGGTAAAAAAATCCCGAATTCCCGAACAGTTGGAAATTATGGTATCTCACAAGGGAATGCTCAGAAGTCGACGTGGCCAATTCAAACAAGCTGCACACCATTCGATGCAATATAGAATACTAATTTCAAAGCTGCCTTCCATTTCTGCAGAGCGCCTTTGTAGGCGAAGTTATGAGCAGCTCTACTGCGAAAAAATCGTGCACAAAAATTGCGAAATTGCCGTTTACACGCACAACTGTTTGGCAAAATAATGGCTACATGCACGATTGTTTGGCAAAATAATGGCCTTTAACGGCTCATAATTTCATCCACAAAAGTGTTTAGCAGATAAGAAAGACATTGTGTGACAGACAGACAGACAATGATTTGGAGTCAACGTTTTATGCTGCATCTAATGCCAGTTTGATTGAATTGGCCACTTCGATTTCTGACCATTCCTTTATCAGTTCAAAACAATTCTGCGAATTTCCCACTCGTTCACGCATATACTCTCCCTATCAGATACTTATACATACACTTGCTGCGTTCTTTCGATGGCTAGAATTTGAGGAAAAATAATGCGCTGAAAATTCAGGATCTGCCTGCAGCGGTCCTATGTACCTCGCAATGTTTTCATACAGCTTTTTTCCTCAGAAATACTGCAACGAATTTGCAACCTTGCAGGTGCCCTGGTCCTTGAAAAATGTCGATTCAAAGATCCGAATATAAAAAGACTTATGGGACAACCTACTATAGAAGCATCTTTTCTATAGCACAAAAGGGCAGTGAACTCATTAGTTTAACTTATTCATGTTTGTCTATAAATAAGACGGGGAACAAGTCCTGTTTGGCAGGTGAGCAGCGCTGTAAACAATTGAGTAAAACCACGTACGGAAATTCGATTTCCTCCGTCAGAAGTTAATCGCATTCCTTTCTGTGCAATTACGGGAATGAAGTCGACTGCGTTTTTTCGGTGGAGGGACGCTTCGTTTTCGTTTTTTCATAAGCGCATATAGAATTTCTAATTATCTGATGAAGTGAAGCATTTTATCGATGATAATTTATAGGCATTATGGCCTAAAAGTTATTATAGAACTACATGAACCATAATCAGTTGTAGCTCTCAATAAAAGCTATAACATCATTTAGCGTATTTCATATAGCGAAAATTCATTTGAGGATTCTGCGTTAATCCCCATTGATTGCAGTTTTTCAACTGACCCAGTAATTTGAGCTTCAGAGCCTGAAATGTTTGCTTTATTAGTCGGCATGAAGTTTGGGGATGGGGCGGAGGGGTAGAAATAAGGGCTGGTTATTGCTGTAAACGTACCCAGAGTACGGGAGATAGCAGCCACAATTGATGGCAAAGATAAAGCTCCAGCGAAAACATTTGCACCAATACAAACTCTAGTTTCTCTGATTAAAAAGCCTCTTTTGAAATTTGGAATGACTTACAGTGGCTTTGCAGACTTCCATGTTAGCTAACCACATTTGCCATGCATAGAAAATATGAGCACTTTGAGAGATTTTCGAGTTAACAATTTCTATCATTCTGACTTAGAAATAATGCGTGAGAATCTATGCCACAAAACTTTTGCAAATGTCTTGGAGGGATTTTCTAAGGCATGAGAAGAGCTGAGAGGCATAGTTGGTAAAACTATCAAGAGTGATCGGCTGATTGGCTCCATAGTGACACCTTTGAGCTGTTTCGCTAATTTTTCCCCTTAAAAGCTGCGTCCAGAGTAGTCTGTGCCGCCGCCGTTCCAGCGCCGTGCTAGCATCGTGCCGAGTGCCTAGAGGTCAATCGATTAATACGCAGTACGCAATTGAGCTCCGACATGGTACACGGTACCCGCTGGCACGGCCGGTGCTCAGGAACATCTGCGCGCAAACCTTCATTTTGAAACACGAATTAATTTTTCACTGGCATACAATAACGATAAAAAATTTTGTTTGATTTGTTTTTTAGATTTTCTCATGAAAATGCATACGGTGGTTATTCCATGCTATAGTGCCATTTGAATAAACGTCTTTCGCACAAGCTATATGATAGCTGTGAGAGCACATATGAAGATTGAAAAAAAGTCTAAAAAAGTCCGTTATTTGAGAGAGTTAATCGCCATTGTAAACAAGATTTGCAGCCTAGCTTTGATTGTAGATCTGCACTGATGAACGTTAGTCGTTGAGAAGAACCTTTAGCTTGCATTGAAAGTTTTCTTCGACGGTGAGATCCAGTGACAGACAGTGTAGCAATCAGACATATCTTGAAGGCATGAGTGCTCAAAGTATTGGTAAACTGGGTATTTTTTCAATATGTCACTTGTCAAACGAATGGCATTCTTAAATAACTTATCATTCATCAAATCCTAATTCTCTGGATAGATTCGCTCATAATCATGCCCTTATTCTTTGAGTGAGTTCAACAAAGAGGGATGGAGTCGAAAAAGGAATAGGGCGGGGGGGGGGGGGGTGGAGGGGTATGAACTTCCTTTGCAGAGTGCTTTGTTGAAGTTCATAATCTCCAAACCCTTGCATTAATAGCAATCAAGTACTGAGAAAAGTGTTCTGTTCGTGCGGCACTTGCCCCAGATTTGCCCCCAGCGACGACGTTCGCATAAAGCGCAGATGTCCGCTCGGGTTCCTGTAAGGCGCTGGAACTGGCTTGGCACGCATGGCAGCGTTGGTCTATTGCAAGAACTACAAAACGAGTGTATAAGTATAAAGCTAAGCAGCCTTTTTCGAATGAAATTGGATCTTAGCTATTGCTGAAATCTTCATTCGGCAATCTGTTACTGAGGAGTTAAGCGTAAAAGTGCTTAGTAAGGAAAAATCGTTATGGACAAATGGAAAGCTCCAAACCGAGATGAGAACTTGGTGAAATGCAATGATTGCAGACAAGTATGAGAATAATTGGAGGTTCGATCTCCTCCAGTGACATTCCTTTGCAGGAGTGTCCTCTCCATTGGATCCAATTGGTTATTTCGTGGTTTTATTGCAAAGGTGATTTGAAGCTCCTGATTACTCTCTTTTATGGAAACTTGATTGAGATGATCGTTTCCGATAGATTTCTGCCACTCCTGACTTTTATCTCATGCCCTACCATTTCTTTTACATTCGCGGCGTAGTCTTGATGTACATGTGAGCTTTCAGCTAAGACATATCAAGCTAGCTCTACAGCATTCTTCTTTTCTGTTCCTGCCCCTCTCTCACGGATCTAATTACACATATATTTCTTTTTCAAAAATATTTCTGGAGCCTTACTTTTTTGTAAACTTTCATAATTGATGTGCTGAGTCCACAATTTTTTTCCATTGCAGATGAGTTCAACACTTACGTCACGGTCAAATTACAAAATGTTAAGTCCACAACTGCTGTTGTGCGTGGTAATATACCATGCTGGGAACAGGAGTTCATCTTGTGAGTTGACGTTTTGGTGCTTCATATGTAAAAGGATGCTATAACTGGAATAAAAACAAAATTGCTTGGTAATGACTCTGCATGTGACTTGATAAAATTTATTATGCAAGCAAGATGCGATCGAGAGAATGGAGAGGAGTTAGGGGGAGGGTGTGCTTAAGGGGGTTATGTTTATCCTCCACGGAAATTAGCAGTGTTACTTTTTTTGGTTTCTAACGCTGCGTTTCAGCTGACAGAGTTTCGGCTTCGTGCCGGTGCCGTGCCAGTGCCCAAGGACGCATGCGTATCAGGCGATCGATCCTGCCGCGCAGTATTGGCACGGCGCTTGCTGGAACGGCGCTGGCACGAACGGCTGTTTAAAGGCAGCGTCCAGGCAGATCCGAGCTCGACGACCACGCCCACTTCCCTCGGACGGCCAACCCCTTATGAACAAAATCTCCTCAGCCTTGACATGTTTTCACATGACCAACACAGTCGAACTTACAGCGTTTACCTGTTAATACTTGCTTTCGACAAGGGTAACATCAGAAGCACTCGTCCGGGTTTTCCCAAAATAGCCCCAAAAGGTGGTTTTCTGAGAAATTCACGCTTTTTGAGTTCCATATTCGGAATCAGCCCCATGGAAAGGCCTGGATAACATAAAAATATAGAAGTCGATAATCTGCCTGGACGCTGCCTTTAAAGGCAGTGTCCGGCCAAAAAGTCGATTTTGAGATTTTGTGCTTATTCGGGCTTATTCCCTATGCTGAATCCGAATATCCACATTGGAAAGCGCGAAAACGGCGAAAAAGGGCTCTAACGCAGGAGTGAAATCAAAAGTGGGCGAGGTCTTCCCCAAGGTGAATTCACGGTCCCAGCTTTCGGAGCGATATTTTCAATTCCACCAACCGCTCTGACATCTCAACGGACCAGGTGCGAATGCATGATCTGAAGTCGGAAGCGAAAAGATCGCTCCGGGAGCTGGGACCGTAAATTCACCCTGGGGAAGACCACCCCACTTTTGATTTCCCTCCTGCGTTAGAGCCCTTTTTCGCCGTTTTCGCGCTTTCCAGTGTGGATTTTCGGATTCAGCGTAGCGAATAGGCCCGGGTAAGCACAAAATCTCAAAATCGAGTTTTTGCCCGGACACTGCCTTTAAGTAGTCTGAATGTTTTGGGAGTGCTCGGGTTGTTTTGCTTACCACAACGATAATGTCTTCTTTGAGCGGTTTGAAATTGGTGAGCCGTTCTTCCCCTTACTCCAATATATGAATGAGCAATATGTACGACAAAATTAGATGGGTTACGATGAAACATTTTTTTTTTCAGCGAGACGAATCGCCTTGACGAAGGTATGATAATCGAACTGTGGTCCAAAGGGGTGTTGTGGGATCGCCTACTTGGCGTTCACTTCATGCCTCTTACGGATGTGCGATATTGGTGGGTGGATTTATTCTGTTGATCTATGCACAGATTATGGCACGAAATGTCAAAAACCTTAGCTGCAGAGTCTCTAGAATATTCTATGAACTTCCTTATTGCAGCATGCGCTACATTTCTCTTTGCACTTGCATTTCTATGAATGTTCCTTCATGCTAACTGATATTTGCTGCGAATAAGATACTGTACATTCTGATCGCAAGTGGAGTCAACAGCCTTTAATTATTCAGTCGCTTGTGCAAAATCTACAGCAGCGAACATTCTCAAGGGTGCTGAAGCATTTACGGTTAAGCAGCGTCCAAGGTCGTTCCCGTGTCGAGGCCGTGCCGGCGCCGTTCCTCTGCCATGCACCGTGCCGGAACTGACATGGTTCCCATCAACGGTGGTTTGAAGACTTGGCGTGGTGCTGGAGCGGCGCTGGCACGCGCAACTGTAGGCGGGGTGAGTGACTTTTCATACGATGAGCAATTCCGAGGTGCGAGGTGTGAACACCTACGGCTAAGTGTCAAGTTTCGCACCTGTCTAGTATACTGTAGAGAAGGGGGGGGGGAGGGGGACTTTTCATACGAATGCCCCACATCATCTTTTGGCAAAGATCCAGTAAAAAGTGGCACAATGCCAGGTTTGGGCCTGCTGGCTCCATTCCAAAAAAAAAGCATCCAGATTAGCTCTTGCAGTACCGCGAATTTGGATAAATTTGGAAAACTTGAATACTATATGGATTCAAAAAGTGTTTTGCTGTGAAAAATAACACTATGATCGTTCCACTTACGAATTTTTTAATATTCAAGTCGACATAATTCTGTCTCTTTTGCAAATGTTTTAAACTGATTTGAGTATTGTCACATGCCTCTCCGACCTTTCAGCATGACCTGGATATCCCATAGGGGATATTGGAGGGGGGAGACGGTCAAGAGGCGCGATTTTTCTGGGTTTCATCAACTAAAACTCCAGTTTCATGCTATGGGAAAATTCAAAAAGTGTCGGACAAAGTTCATTGGCTTACTAGCTGTTTGAAGTAACCACTTGATAAGTTTGACTTTTGCTAGAAAACTGACAGAAATATTTACAAAATTGCTGTTAACTGCATTTTTATGTGTTTTTGACCCTTAACAATTTTGTTTGAAATCGATTTCAAGATGATGAGATTAAACAATCCCTAAATTCCCTAGTATATTTATTTCGAAATTTCAAGTAATTCTAGAACTTCATAAAACACTAAATATGTGCTATATGCTGCCCATCTGCCAATAGGAATCGCGCCTCTTGACATATCTTCACCCATTGGAGGGCATGCGACTTGATAAAGCGAACTATTCATTACCACAACTGTGCCAGTTGTTTGCGAAAATGAATTTGCTGTGGCCAGACGATCTTAACTATGATACGCTATTTCAACCCGATGCTTTATACAACAGATAAAATCAAGATATTCTTTAGTTTACGCATTTTTGATAATAAACGTTTCATTTTAGTCCATTGTAATCGATAACTGAACATATTACCAGACCCTAGCATACGCTAGAAGGTCAAAGTGATTGAGGAGCGTTCGTATGAAAAGTCCCCCCCCCCCCCACCTAGGCGTAGTGGAGAATCTTAGTCATTACGTGGATGGAGAGGTGCCATGTAGGTGTGAGGTAGGTGCGAAGGCTAGGTGCGAAGTCCCCGATCGTATGAAAAGTCCCCCCCCCCCCCTGTAGGCGCAGCCTTAATAGTTCCAAGCTTCGCCGATGTCTCTGTTTTTAAGGGATTTTTGTTTGATTTTAATAATATATATCACCATTTTAGCGCTGCTCCGGGTGATGGGAAATGGTTACAAATGGATCAAGAATTAGAAACCCGTAACGGGCAAACTATAGGTACTAGCAAACCCACTGGTCACAATGTACTCGTCGATTCACGGTTCGAATTGCCTTTTGGTGAGTTCGAAGGAATAATTTTTCTTGGCTACCTTGTACGTGTATGCAGTTGTGATATTTTTAAAACTAGTTTGTCCTCTGCGGCAGCGTCCAGAGTTACCTCTGGGCCTGCATAGTGCAAGCGAAGTCCCAGAGCCATGCCGAAACCCACGTGTTATTGATCGATACACCTTCGGCACGGCGCTGGCACAATTTGACAGAGGTGTTTTACTCGAGCTCACTTTCAAGAATTCCATCAACTTTTGTTTAAGTTGCGTGTTCACATCTCAAAATCTGTTTGTCATTCGTTACAAGTTCGTTTTTTTCTGAATCTTACCCGAAAAATCGCTTTATTTAGCATTTCTCAGCGATCAGTATCTATACTATTTGCTACTAATTATAAGATTTCAAAGAATCACGATGGTGTCAATCATATATCCAGAATCAGAAGGGATCAAATATCAAAAGACTATCTGTCTTTTGATGTTTATAGGTCGTCTTTTCCCTTGAAATATGATGCTGCAAATTTTCAACACTGAAATCGAACTCTTTGTCCTCTCTGCCTTTTTGATTGCCTCAATTCTGCTTTCGTTGTCATCATTTTCTCAAGTGTCTCGTTACATCGAGCAGCTCTCCACATCGTTTTTTGCTCTCCTTATGTGTATCGGCTTTTCGACAGCCGGCGATCAAAGACAGAAAGACACGACCTCATTCAGCTACGTTACAAGCACTTATCCGTTGAGCTCAAGCACATTGTGCATTCAATAAGTGCGAGCTGCTCCGATTCATTTCCTTATTGCTCTCTTTAAAATGCATTTTGATTGTTTCCTCAAGTAAGAACGCTATCTTATGCATTAGACCATGATTTTCAGGTCATGCCGGCTATGTACCTAGGAAGTAGTCTTTTTTGTTTCCCATTGTTGCTTTTAAAGGCAGCAGCCAAGAAAATCTGGATACCTGATTTATAATGAGGAAAGTTATTGGGGGCTCTATTCAAGCATATGTAAGCGATTGCTTATATGATCCACTCCCGGCCGAAAAATTTGACTTAAACTTTTGCCCAGTTCGTATTCGAGAGAAGCTTTAGCGTATCCATTTACGACTTTGAGTACGGTGTGGGCGAGGGGTGATTATTCCTCATCTCGGCGATGACTGAATTATACGTGTTTTCGTTTCTGCAGTAATAATCGAGGCCTTTCAATCAGTCTCCACGTAAGAAACTTGCTTAGATACCCAGATAGTTCTAGACACTGCAATTTCAATGATAAGTTTCATTAGAGTCTAAGTGCATATTTTACTCGCTACTTGTATAGAGCTGAGAGAAATTCACAACTGCGCGTTACTTTTTGTGTGCGACTCATTCATAATAATGTACGTAGCGACAACTTTACGATGCTTGACGACGATGACATAAAATTCAATGGCGCTCAGCGCTCTTTGAAACGGACTCACAAGCTTGTAAAATCTCATTTTTAGATTTGCGTACTTTGAATTAATGTGTTTCAATGATAATGACCTCGCTATTATTCTTATTACTATGATATGCAACGCTTAACACATTTTCTTTATTCCGCCATGTCTCAGTTTCTACTCAAATAGATAGAATTTGGAAACCTAGGCACTCTTGAGAACTCACTCATCCCTTCAACCTTTTTGTAACTACAATATTATCCGAAAAGTTTCCTTTTCAGTTATCATATGCAAATCGTGGTGCAAGATTTTGCAGAAGTTTGGCTTGAAAACACTTTTCGTCAATATAAAAATTTAGTTTTATTTTCTTTATCATTACCATATCATGGTGGGAATGTAATCATTAGCTGGCATGCCTTGTTGATATTTTAAACAGAATTCTGGAAATGCAAAGAGTAAAACTTCTATCACTTCAGCCAGCCCCTTTTTTTGAAGGTCGATTCCAAGGATTGTCACGAATCGCTCGATTGTTTGCACGGATCACTATCGAACAGATTTTTCTTGTATGTAACTAATAGAAAAAGAATGTTGAGAGGTTTACTGAGTACAAGATTGTGGATAAGTAGGGCTTTGGAATGTTTTGTCTTGCTGTCTCGGCAGTAATCCAGGAGATTAGGATCACTGGGAAAAAATAGACTTTCATAGACAAAATTGTTTTTCGATTTTCTTTGTGAAGTCTTCACCTTGAGGTAACTTCAAGCTTCACTAATCTCACTTTTTTCGTTTCAATTTTCTGATTTTATAGACCCACAGATTCTAGAATTCGTCTGTAGTGAATGCGAATTGATTTTGAACACTTTTATCCTTGGTGAGAAGCGTGAAGAACAACATGTAACTTGCGAACGCGTCGAAGGGATTCATCACCATAGTAGAGGTGCTGAGGCAGTAAGTCCGACGAGGAGACCGCCGACGGCCGGCGGAAGGAAGGATGCGCGGACCAAGCTGCGAAAACAACCCTTCTCTTATTATCTAGCTTCATAGCCGGCTCTTCGACCCAACGCGCCGTTGAGTGTTTGCCACCAGGCATTAGCTATGGCTTATAGCGTAAAGAATTTTCTACTCAAATAAAAATAATGATTTTTTAGCTCTGGAGTTTATACGGAAGCGCCTAAGTCTCGGTTTCATTTTTTTCCCTTAGATTTTTTTGAATTCTGTATGCATCATATACATATGAGTCGGCGTAAACTTGCTTTCATCTATGTATCACCTAGTAAAAGTAAAAAGCGGGCGTTTACATCGGTAGATTTGTTGAATGATATAGTGTCCTTGCGGTGGCGACAGCATTTGCGCGGGATAAATGATTATGGGGTGCACTTCTTGATTTCCATCCCTTAGCCATTCTTCACGCACAGATGTTGTCATCACGAAAATCGCCACATTGTACTTCATTCTGTAGACTTTTAGAAAAAGTGCCGTTTTAGCTCGCTTATATGAACGCATTAGGCCCCGAGCAGACTTCACGCGATTTGATCGTCGCGACTCAATCGCCGACATTTCCATTCATTTTCATTTCACATTCAAAAATTTCGGGCTGGAAAAGTATCACAACCGAAATGCAAGTTGATCGGCGTGGAATGATGTTGTAACAGTTGTCTCGTCGCGATTGAATCGCGACGATCAAATCGCGTGAAGTCTGTCCGGGGCCTTAGGCGGCTAAGTGTTTTTAAAAGGCAGTGGACCGGGAAAAATCCGAATTCGGGGTTTTCACATTTGCTAGGGTTTCCCGACCCGTGGATTCCATATATATACTTCATTCATTTGATGAGAGAATGATGAAAACCCCGTTTTCGGATAGCCACCGCGGACGCAACTAGGACGAGCTGAGCCGTCCTTCGCGACCCGACCGCGTCGCTTGGAAGGACGGAGGCGAAAATTCGCCGCTTGATATTTTAGGATTGCAACGATGCGCCAGTCAACGATCTTGACAGGTAAGACGTGTATTCGCACGAAGCAAGACGTCCTCGAGGAGGCGGGCTGAGGGCTGGAGGCGGGGTGAGGGCAGGGACCTTAGTAATCAGTGCGGGATTGGGGGGGGGGGGCTAGAGGGGGTTACGGGAGGGCACACTTAGCTAATATGCTTAGTTGGGAGTCCCTTACTTTGGGGGCCAAAAAAAATTGGAAGTCCGATTTTTTCGGTCCACTGCCTTTGAGAACGCTATGACAGTTAAAGTAATGCTGTTACGGTCTCAACAACGTTTGCGCCTAAAAATGGCCATGGAACGAACGTTTTCAAGTTTTGCACTCTATGGTGTTTTTCATGCGTAATTGTTGTCATCAACCGCATAGGACACTATACTGCATTTCAGTTCCGTACTATAATCCCTTCACAATTCCTAGTGTTTGTACCCTCACCTTGCAAACATAAACAGTATTTTTCTTCCACTTTTTGTTCTCAGCTGGTTCCCATTTGCTTGCGCAAACAGTGTAAACCATCGTTATTTTTTTTTTTGCAGCGTAGTTCGCATCCGAGTGCATTGGCGTGGGATGGGAATTTCTCTTTTTTGATGTTTAATTACGCAGATACCTGGGTAAAACGCATGCACATGGCAAAGGCGCGTTATACTTCGTTATTTCGATGCATCCGCATTTACGTAAATGTGAGACATAATCCATTCTGTTTTTTTCATGTTTAACATTTGCTTGAATGTCAGCTTAGGAAGGTTCTGATCAAAAATTCACTTTTCATTTCCGCTCAATGGGGTCGTGGCTCGTATTGTTGTAATCATAGCTTTTTCGCCTACGCAGATGAAAGTTCAAGAAGCAGAAATTTTACACTAGAATTTGGTTTGAGCAGTTTCTCTAGCATAATTACTTTCCACAGCAAAGAAAGCAATGAGTTTGGGCTAATAGGATTTTTTTAAAGCTTCATTTCTTGCCCACGACTTATTGATATACTTTTTGACGGGTTGGTAGTGGCTAGATATTCAAGAACTACCGAAATGTCGAGCATATATTAGGACGGAATTTGCCTCTATTGAAAAAAATCTTAATGTTTTTCTGAAATTTTTCCTATCTTTGAATCTTGTGAAAATGATTGGTTTTCGACTTTCCATTGCCACACGAAAAACCCAATGTTTCAATCTCTCAAAGATATTCTAAATTCTTTTGGCCCACTTGTGATGTTAGAAAGCTTGAAGTTTCAGAATGTTTTCGTGTTAGCACTGACGCTGTTGGATTGAAAAAATTATTGAAAGCCTTGCAAAATGAGAAGAAAAATGAGAGAGTGAGAGGTAATAAAAAAAACTTTTAGATTGATATTAGCAATCTCTTTGCATTGTTGTGACTCATATCTGGCAAATGGTTTTTTATCTTTTTCTTTGTTTATCTCGAAAATGAAATTTGCCAAAATCTCCTAGTTTCCTAAAGGAAGGCGACAAAAGCGTAACAAGATATATGCTCCAAACCAATGCTTACAAGGGAATGGTCAGAAGTCGAAGTGGCCAATCCATACAAGCTGCATACCATTAGATGCCGCATTAAACGCCGACTCTAAATCTGCCTTCTTTATCTGCAGAGCGCTTTTGTGGACGAAATTATAAGCCGTTAAAGGT